TTATTAAAGGGAAAAAAAACAAAACTGAAATTTATTAGATAATTATTAATTAAAAAATGTGACCACAAATTAAAAAATTAAAATAGATAAATTTGTCAATAAAATTAAAAAATTCTAATCCACTAGCGGTTTGATACAAAAAGCTACATAAACTAACTTTTTCAATCCGTTAGCGATTTGGACCCTAACCGCTATCCGCTAGTTTCAAATCGCTAAATAAAAATTTTACCAAACACTTTAATTGTAGTGGTTTCGAAATATATAAATTTACCAAACACCTATATTTAGCGGTTTAGGTAAAACCGCTAACCCTACCTCAAAACCGCTATACCAAACGAGGCCTTTGTTTGGTTTGAATTTGTTCAAATTGGTTTAGATAAGAATACATCTATTTAGTGAGATTCTAACTTAGCATTCTGTGGTCTAAGGTGGTGAAGGGTTCCATTTAAAAATGTTTTTTTTTTTTTTTATCTTGATTGCACAATGGGAGGCAACTATTTCCATCTCTTATCTTACCCCACCCACATGCTGATTCGAACTCAAAATGTCTTATTTTTAGTGAAAGGAGATAATCACTAAATTATTTAGGTTATTAGTAATCTCATTTAAAACTATACAATTCATTAAAAGTATGAAAAAAAATTAATTTCAAATTCAACTTAATGGCATACATGGACTACACTTGGACTTCCCTTGAACAAAGGGCCAATTTTTGTGTTAGTTCACTGAGTTTAAGGAGTAAAAATTTCTAATATTAGTTAAGAGACCAAAAGTGTGTAAATCGACAAAGCTCAAGGACTAATTTCAGCATTTAAGCTAGTATAATGACAAAAGTAAAATAGACCATGGTATGAAAATCCCCGAGTTTGGCGGAAGAAGACACTCCTTTTATTTCAAAATACAAAACCTTTGACTTATTTTTCACATTATTTTAGATAATATTTTTTTATAATATATAAATAATAATTAAAAATTTTTTATTAAATAAAATTATTTAACAAAAATTACATATAAAAATAATCTCAATTATCATTCATATACTATGAAAAAATATTACCTAAAAATAAATAATATATGCACATTCTAAAAAGACACATTACCACACACTTCTGATTAATCCAATAAAATATTATGGGGTGTCAGAATACTTTTATCCCTATCTTCTTCATCACAACATATTGATACCTATTTCTTGTAAAATCTCCTTCCAGTGATGCGATCCTTTGGTTGAAATCTCTCCATGATCAATTCAAAAGTGGTGAAATCGCTATGCAATAAGGTTTGTTCCTTTGGCTAAAATCGTTGGGTTGAGTTTGTTCTATTTGAAAGAATCATTGCAGCAAGGTTTTTTTTTTTCTCAAAAAGTGTATTTTTGACTTTCTTCTAATTGCAGTTGAAGCAAGAATGCACCAATTAAAATGGCTGCACCAACGAATCCTTCTTTTGTAATCTTACCCATTCTATATGTGCACGATAATTTTCTTGCCTTTGTGGTTTTTGGAATTTCATGGGTTTTTTTTCTAGAAATCTGCTGTCAAAAATGTTATCTCCGAGGTTTGAAGTGTAACATGTTCTAGGTTCAATTTTCCATTTAAATGGATTTTTTGCTACGTTTCTAAAAATTTTATGTTAATCGGGTGCTTTGAAGATGATGATTATTGGTAGCATCGAACTGATGTTAGCACTTTTTCTATTTGAGTGAAGTGGGTTCATGTGTTGGTTAGATTTGGGCTCGTCAGGAACCCAAATTTGTCCCGAACCCAAATCATTTGGGTTTGCACAAACACAGTGCTGTGTTTGTGCAAACCCAATCACAACAAAGGAGGGGGGAAGAGAAATGTAGCCAAAAATGGGCAGGAGAAAGGTATTGAAAAACTGTCGGGTTTACCGGAAAGAAGACGAACAGGAGAGGTACCTATTTCCAATCTGTTTGGTAACAAAAATAGACAATGTCTACATGAATAATTGCAGGGTTCAGTATTTCAACCCATATTCCAAACTGACTAATAAATTTTTTTTTTTATAAGGTATGTCTTACCAGGTGTTGAATCGATAGGTGCATTTATTATCATCTTACCTAAAATTATGGGTAAAAAAGTCAAATTACTTGTATTTCAAAACAAAAGGAGTAAAAAAGTGAAATAAATGTTGGAATTCAAAATTCAATTCTACAGAATTATTTGATCTTATGGTTTGGTGTCTACAAAATTTAATTTACTTATTGCTTTATTTTTTATTGGTTTCAGAAGAAAATTACCTTTAGGAAGGTTAAGAGTATAAGATCTTCTCTAATCCCACCTTTTTGATGTCCCATGGAAGGACATAAGATTACTTTTGTTTCTTAACACTGCTAATTCATAGATTCCTTCTTGCGAGATGATATCTAAATAATGTAATATATATATATATATAATTGTTTTCTTTATTCTCAAATAAATTTGTGGAAAATTAAGATGAAGAAAGGTATTTCTTGCCCAGATTAGTTATTGGTGGCGGTTTATTCTAACCATTTCAACATGGGTTGAAATTAACAAGGATAATCACAATAACAAGACAGAAATTGATGACATCTCCCAACAGCACTGACTCCATATTTGATGATACAGTCTTGAGTGCAATCGATTTTAGTACACTCAGGTGTGGGTTTTAGCAGCACTGTACAGGTTTTGGCACTCACTACTACCGATCCATTTCCTACAACAATAACCCATACTATTTAGAAAGGACGTGACTAATTATTGAGTTAATTTTTAAAGAAACATTATAACAATTTTTAAAAATAAAATGAAATTTACCTAAGGTAGTAAGCAGGGTAACAAGAAGAATGACAAAGGTTGAGAAATTCCTCATGGTTGGCTTCTAGCTTTCTGTCTTGTATATTTCTTCAAAAAAAATTTTGAAATAGATGTTACTGATTCAGCTTGCATTAGATCGTAAATACATATATATATATATATATATATATATATATGTAACCACTAATATTTCTAAATGGACATCTTCTTCACACGAACAAAATATTAAATTGGTCTACTAAATAAAAACTGTTAAATTGCAATTAATTAGCATTTCAGTTTTAAACTTTTGGAAACCAATCTTTATTTAATATATTGAATTATAACATTTCATGCAATGGCTTAGAAATAATTCACTATTGCATCGGGAATCAAAATTTGTTTAATTTTTGAGAAAATTACACATGACCTATTTGGGTTTTTAATGTGAGTATACTTAAAGGCTTGTGGTGTCCAAATGTATACTTAAAAGATCTGTGTTTTGAGCCGTGAGCACTAAACCACTCCTATCATCTAAATAATATTAAAATTATGTGTAATATCTTAAATGCTTTTGACTTAAAAAATAAAAAAGAGAGGAAAAAAGCTCAACCATCGCACAGATTCTTTATTTCATAACAATCTTCAAAAATTGATTCAAGTAAAGATAAAAACCAAAAAAAATAACTTTTTACAGGTAATCAAACAAAATCTTTTAATCTATTGTAGTTTATGTTCCGAAGTGAAGCTTTGTTTCCAATTTTCTTTTGTCAACTTTTTTTGTGTTTGGTTGGAAGTTTTACTTGTTTAGGATTTAAAAAGTAAGTATTTCATTTGAAAATTAAATGGTTTTACCTTAGTCATCTACAGTTATAAATAATATATTCTTGATTTTATGCATATTTAGTTTCAATTAATTTCAACAGTACATGCTAATTATGAATATTTTATACATGTGCAAATTAATTTTTTTGTCAATTAAATTACGCAAGTGGTTGGAATGTGGTTAGTTAAAATGAATGAATGAATTAATACTTATCATTTTTTTTTTTTATGTATTTTGACAGATGGATGATAATGAGTTACCAAAAGATGATGAGACTGTAAATGGTTCTAATGGGTCAAATGAACTAGAATCCAACTTTGAGGCAATTTGGGATCTTGGAGTTGAAGATGTTGAGGTCCTTGAGGACCAGGGAATTGAAGAGGAACTTGTTGGGAATAGGCCCAACATTCAACCTAGGCCGTATATAATAGCCCTAATCACTCATACCTAGGCTTCAAAATGAAGATACATCCATACAGCAGTCCAAACACAGTCTAGACACACCCACGTGAGTACTCATATGTGGACCAATCAGATGATTACATGTATGGATGCGTGTCAACACCAGGGGGCTATAAATACCCCAGCTACCTTCATTCAAGGTATGAACTCCACTACGCTTCTCTCTCTGCAATTACTCTTGAGAGCTTCTCTCTCTAGAATATTGAGTATTGTTAACTTGAGTGTCGGAGTGTTTTCCCATAGGAAACATCCTCGGGATTTTCAGATGTTGAAGTAGTTGAAGATTTGTACAGTGTAAGTTCTATAGTGTAGGTTCCTAAAACTGCCCAAACATTTGGCGTCGTCTATTGGAAACCTGAACAAAAAGTGGGGTAGCTTAACTAGTTGAAGTAAAAGATGGTACGTACCTTTACGGGGAACCAACCCCCAAGAGGTGACATGGATGACTAGGATAATACTTAGCTTTTGGAAAGTGACCTAAATGAGTTCCGACCAATGCCGAGAAACCTTTTTGTTGGAGGAACAGAACAAGAACAGTCAAATAGCTCGGATGATGAACAAACACCTATTGGGTATGCAACCCAACCTGAAGAATAGTTTCACATTCCAACGAAAACAAGGCGAAGGCATTCTAGACAAAATGCTTCACGACTTGAAAGACCCATGGAATCTACTCGGACGACCAAGCAAGAAGAAAGATCCAAAGTTCTAGAAATGGCTATGGGAAGAATTCTCTCCTGTCTGATCCTTGATAACCCCCTAATTCCTCTGCTGAATAGGAGTGAGTAGCTAGTAGCAATAGTTGCAACTCGTAACTCCTCGGCCTTGAGCAATGTGGTGGTTCCAACTAAGCCATGGGGAAGTGGAAAATTAAATCCAGAGCCCAGCTCATCCAAGCATAGTGGTGAGTTAATAAAGAAAAATTCAGAACTCGAAAAGCAACTTAAAGATATACAGAGGTCTATTGACGAGTTGAAGAGTCCGAGGTCGCGTTAGCAAGCCTTGGATTTAGACAGCGCTCCTCTCAACTTGTCCATTACAGCAAAACCATATCAGGAGGGATTCAAGATTCCTCACTTAGAAACATATGATGGTTTTGGCGACCCAAACGAACACTTGCACACCTATCAAGCCATCATGAAAATTCAAAACGCTACTGATGCAATGATGTGCAAAGTGTTCCCTGCAACATTGAAATCCACTGCTAGAAGATGGTACCACAAGCTCCCCAGACACTCCATAGCTTTGTACTCCCAGCTCACTACGTTGTTCTCTAACAAATTTGTGAGCCAGAGGGAGATAAAACGAAGTGCTACTACGTTGATGTAGGTTCA